TTCGCATCAAGTGATGATAAAAGCCCCCTTGCAGCGTCAGCTTCAAAGTGGGATAGTATAGTGGGACTTCCCGCCGGTAGTGCCATATTCGAGGAACCTAATTAGTTTGTTATGTTTGTTACTGGTAGCAGTCACTGCTTAGTCAAAGTCCTTGTAACTGTCCCACTCCAATTACCCCTTAGCACACTCAAATTGCTTAACAGCCCATATTACTAAAAGGACTTGTCAGAATGTGCAACTGTTGGTCATCGGTGTGGAGAATTGGAACCAAGACCACATTAGCAACGGTTAAACAAATATGCGAATATTCATGCTAATATATGTATTTACTTCTCTGGATATGTGCGCATGGGGGTAAGTGCGCCTGTGCTTCCCAAGAGTATTAATCAATGGGGAGGGCTGTCAGAAGAAATTATGGCTACGACAATTTAATAGGCATCATTAAATATGCAAAAAGCTAATCGTATTACATAATCATTGATATACAACTTAATAACCTTACCAAGCCGATAACATTAATTCAACTAATATTAAAATGCATATTTGTGTTAATTCATAATTGTTTGTCTTGACTGATAGATTCGCTGACTGATTAGTGACAGGAAGTTAAATTAGTTAGCAGGAGAAGGAGTAGGAGTTAGTAGGAGAAGGAGTGGGAGTGTTTCTATCTTCATTGTTGAATGCAAAAAGTTCGGACTATTCGATAATCATCATCGTCTAAATTTAAACATTATTCAAAAATCTTACTTTTTTATCTGACATATTCCAGTTATGAATTTTTCTATCACTTCAATATATGAAGTCCGAAGCCCAAAAAGAATAAAAATAGAAAAGTACATTTAAATATATATTTAATTTATAATACAGTCTAACTACAAATTACAATAACTTGAAACAAAGAAGAAGGGATTGATTGAGAATTTAAATTAGGATCGTCTAGTTCGTAGATATAAATAAAAAATAAAAATTAAGAAAAATACTGAAGGAAACTGTGATTCTGCAAGTTATCTGGATCAGTGAACCAGGTGGGAGGCACCAACAATTTCGTCAATCGAAGACGATAAAGAAGAAGTTTATTTCTGAAAACTGTTAACAATCCTCATGGATGCCTAAACTGTCGTCGCGTTTTGTGGCCGGTTAACGGCCAACTGCCAAATGAAATTGGTTGACGGTTATTCGTCGAGTCGAAACTCATCGCGTTTTTGGTTTGGGTTATGGTTATGTCAATCATTATGTTGATGGTAACGGTTATGAGGCACTCGATTACCGTCAAGATGAGTTGCCATATTATGGCCATTCGCTGTAATGGAAATTCAAACGGCTTGCGGCCACGCCAACTATTGGTAGTCCTTAACCTCAAAAGACCGAGTATATGCGTCTTATGGATTTTGCGCTGGTCACACGGCCATCTAATGGGTTTTATACGTGATAAAATCTTTCACACATTTCTGGTGGGATCTCCAGAGGCTGCTGTGTGCTCTGAGTTCGAGTTACGGCGACAGCTTTTGACATTGGCAGATGGAAGCTGGAGATGGAAGCCTGACACCGCGCAACATGGCTGTATGGCTGTATTAATATCAGGATATGGGAAATGCGAAAAATTGGCAGGTTTTAAATTAATCGCACCCTTCAAGTTGTCGAATGGCTCACGATTAAATAAACGAGACGAAATGTCGGAAGCAGCAACGAATAAATACCTGTCTCTCTGTCTGTCTGTCTGTCTGTCCGTCTGTCTGTCTGTCTATTTGTGTCTTTCGTGCTGACACTGACGCTGACTCGTTGACTGACAGAAAACGCAAGCAACTGCCAGGCTTTGCAAATTCATTCCAGATGTAAACATTCCCATAGGAAGCCATTTCACACAAGTTTCATGTCTGTTTGTTCAAAATTGCAGCAACTGGTACTGACGTCCACATGTTTGTGTAGCCGAAGGTGTGTGTGTGTGTGTGCGTAAAGGTGTGGTATAGGTGGAGCGTGCTGTTCGCGTGCTACAGTTGCCCTCTACTGCCGTCAATGGCAGCAGCAAGAGCAGCCCAACTTTTGACTTTCTTGCTCAAACGAGCAAATATGCAAAATCACCAGGGGCACTTTGGCTGGCAGCACCGAGAGCTGTATACCTTTTCAAAAGTTGAAGATGAAAATTTTGAAACTTCAAAACCATACTTCGATTGCCAATATACGAATGGCATATTTTTGTAGGAAACTAAAGCCCCTCATGCTGTTCACATAGGTATTCAATATAGTTTCTACCTTGTGCAGTTATGCAGAAATCAAACGAATTTTTTATTTAATTTATATGTCACCTTTGCCAGTTGGGACAAAATTACACAGGGCACAAATAAACGGGTCAAAAAAATATTTGAACTCTGTCTGGTACGCGCCCTCTGTACTCGAACAGTCACCTTAACTGATGGCCGTCCACGTTATTTTCATTGATTATGTCAGGAAAATAAGTTTACTTTGGAACATTATTGGTCCCATTCACAGCAACAAAAAGTCAACTTGTCAAAATGTTCGAAAGCACTTAAAACTTTTACGCACTTTAGTGTTGTTGTTGTTTGCTTGTTTGTAGTTGTTACATTATGGCGTTTTTCCACTAAATCTACATCCACATCGACAATGGCGCAGAGGGAGCGACTCTACCCGCCACCAAGAGTAACAATACCCAGTCTCGTGAGGAGATCAGTCCTTGTGCCGCCGCTTGGTGTGCCAATTTCACACTTCCCTTTTCGCAGTAGCCAGTCCAGCAAAAAATGGCATGGAATATTTTGTGTAAAAAATACTTCAAGCACTTCTCGCATTGAAGCAAAAGGGGGCAGTTAGGAGCTCAAGCACTTCTGTCACAGCCAGTCGCAGGCTTGGTAACTCTACTGGCAGCTGGCCATGTCTATGGCCTGGCTGGACTAGGACTCTAACAAGGCAATTGAATAGCACTTTCCAATAAGTACGTAGCCACAGCCAGTCCTCAAAACGAATAGGAAAACTTGCCAAGGCCAAGCTGGCCACTCTTACATTACGATATTGGCTAAATTGTAACAACATTTGATATTCGGTCTGTCAACTTTCGGCAAGCGCCCCAAAGTTGTGCACTGATAATCTTTGTTTACAATTTATCACAGACGTCAGGTCCTGACCTGAAAATTGGTACTTGTCAATTAGAGAAAATGCAAATTTCAATAGATTTGTTTTGAATAAAACGGACAGTCAACTTGGCACATTACATACATATAAGGTTTGTCAATAAGTACCCAAATTTGCTGGGTAATTAAATTAGGCAAATAGGAGGTCATCTGGCTTTTGATCAAAACAATTTTCAATGATGTACGTAACTGGTTTGTCTATCCGCTGATATCTGCATTAAGTTAATCATAGATTTATATTGCGTTGAAAACTGGTTTTATGGGCGACCCTTTTGTATTTTCCATAATTAAACAGCATAGAATAAAACTGTCTGGAAACAAACAATGATTTATCATTTATCATAGCCTCCGTTCATGGTGTTGGGTATATATACGTAATAGCGAACCTCTGGCCGAGATTGGCATTTAAATTGAATGAAATCAGAGTGAAGCGACTGCCAATGATGTGTGAGTGCACAAAACCTATATATGCTCGTATTTTGCAATGATTTTAACGAATGGATCCTCGGTTACCCACAAATTCTAAGCTTTATGCCTAATGTTGGCATCGTCCCGGCCCAGTTCCTACCATGAAAGTCCGATAATTTATGCCAAACATTTTTTGATGCCGCGTCGCTCAAGCTCAAGCGAGCGTAACCCTTGTTTGAGACTGAGTAATAAAATGAAATATTTATGGGTTAACATTAAGGGATTTGGTTTTTGCTGTAGCACAAATGCCTACACTCGTGCATACCATATATTTGTATATGCGTATGTATACAGGCATGTGGGGATATATCATGCGGCATGTAACACTTTGACCTGGCTTGATCCCGGCCTTGTTGCGGGCGTATAGCGGTTAACATTGACCACACCGGCTAATTTATTGCATTCAAGGCGTTAACACGAAAGCATTTTGCGGAAATGGAAACTAAATAGTCGTGGTTAAATTATTAAATGCCCCATCGTGCTGCCTCAGCGGCAAAGTGTTGCCTATAAAAATTTACTGCTATACACTCTGTATGCCCATGTTTGTTTGCATAAATGAATGCAAACATACAATTCCTGTGTAGCTCAGCAAGTGCTGCCCAATAAATATATACATAGTGCTCATATCATGTATGCATGCATATAGACAGACCCCAACACGTTCGCGAATGGTAGTTGGCAAAACTGTTTGGCAATACTTTAAATATTTTAAGAGTGCTACCACAGCCAAATTGAGAGAGAAGCATAGCGGCAGCGAGCCAGTGAGAATGGGCAAGAGATTATGATGTAACGATTTATGGATAGCTCATCGGGATGAGCACAAACGCAAACATTCGGCTGGCATAAAGTAGAAAACTAAAATTTATGTACGAATTCCCAGCGTCAAAACTCATAAGTAAGTTTACGAATATGTATAGTGTGGGGTGCGACTTTGTGTGCTGATCCAAATTGTATCAATCCTTTAGCCCAAAAGACGAGCCAAAAATACGTCTTCAGAAAATAAAAGGGTGACTTTAAAGCTCGAAAAATGTGAATTCTCTAACAGTATTCCAGTTATTTTTTGCCTTACGGAAATTTCATTTCACCATAATTCAATGATAATAATTTGTGTAGCTTTAATAAATCAACTTACTACAGCTTTAATTTCGAGCTATTTTAAAAGGCTAGCAATCTATGTGTATCATATTTCCTTTGAAATATTTAGATTTCATTTTGTGCTGAGTCAGCACAACTAACCCAATTATAAGAACGCATACTTGTCACTAGTGGATGCAAACAGGAAAGCCAAATATTATATAAAAAGCACGAAATCGAATGTGCGAAAATTCTATTAAACGATATTTGCATGCTCTAAGTTATCGTTATAATATTATAAGTATGAAATCGTTTCAGATTGTCCGAAAGATGACTGCCTGATGCTACTCACTGAACAGAGCCGCCATTCAGGGCCAGATCAGAATTCGCATCATATTTGTCAGCCACTTGAGCGCGCCAGACACAAAGTGTCTAAAGCAAATCACACATTGATCATAAACTAACAAAAAACTAAACAAAACAAAAACAGTTCGACTGCCCCTGGGTATAAAAGTGAGCGGCTACACGCGGCGGTCGGTTAGTAATAACGTGGACGCTGTCATCATCAACATGCTGAGAACAATTCCGATTTGGGCGCTGCTTATTTGTAGTGCGGTCACCGTGGCGGAAGCAAAGCCGTTCTTCGTAAAGGTTTTTGCGCCAATTAATGGTAAATTTATGCAGACTACAAATATTTAGAGTGCAAGAGCAGCTATTAGAAATATATTTAACCTTTCCATCATAGGTTACTCCAGTGGCACCGTCAGATCCACTGCAACGGTGGCACCGGTCAACACTCAGTTGATCTCTAATCTTATATCGACGAAGATTCAACTTCTCAGTAGTTTTCTTCAAGCCAAATCATCCTTTGGCGGATTTGGCATCCAGAAGCAAATCACATTTACATCGGGCTCCACATCAACAACGGAGAAGGCAGTGACCCAGCAAACCACAGAGGTAAACACAGATTTTATTCCGGAAGTTAGCTCCAGCACTCAATCTGTGTACACAACAACAACAGACGGCGACATTGCGACGCCGAAGCCTACAGTACATCCCGTCAAGCCAATTACAACGTCAACGCCACTGATACCCACGCAGAGTACCACCGAGGGCACAGTGGAGTCTACTCCGGGAAGTACCCCCGGATACACCTATCAGACACCCTCATCCACCACCCATGGATACGAGTACCAGACCCCCACACCCAGTACCAGCTCTAGCACCGTGAATGCCTATTACTTGCCCGCCTCTCGATACTAAATGTCTTAGTATATAATCGAATGTACATACTCGCAGCTGTGCAGGTACATTTAGTATATAAGTTAAGCGCTGCTATCGAATGTTTATCTATTAATTGATACTCAACTCTAATCGTTTCATTGGCGATAATTAGAATACATCTTAAAATCTTTGAGAACAGTCTGATTTTTGCTTGGTGCGGAAGTGATTGGATACTTGTCCGCGCATTGCTTCTATTGACAATGGGTGGTTCTGTGCTACCAATTAGCATAAAAACCGGTTTTAGTGAGAAGACGACACAGACATAAAAAAACGAAGAAGAAGACATTGAATCTTCGCTTTGAAAACTCACTCAGACTTGCTGATTGATTTTTTGTTCAAAGTCATGAAATTGAAATTAAAGAACGATCAAAAGTATGAAATGTGAATAAATCTTAGAAGCCAGACGGGACGCCCGAGGAAATAGTCGATACATATATTTCTATGAAAGTGAATATTCTAGAGCATCCACGCGTTTCTGTATTATATTAAATATGTTTTTGGCTTCAAGGTTAGAAACCGGCTTAACCACTCGAACTCAATTCCACAATCACTAAGCATATTTTTATCTGGGGGTTTTAACTGAACTTTGTGTTAGTTTAAAGCCGAGCATGAAAATGTTTATTCTTATTTAAGAAGTTATTTAAATCATTATTAAGAAGCTTCTTAGTTAATGTTCGACTGATTCCCTCATGCTATTTTGAGAAAAACAGGTTTCAAGATATCTTTTTTTTTTAATTACACGCAGCAAATTGATTTAAATTTTATATGTAAGTCATTGAAATATTAACAATTCGGTAGCATATTATGAGTATGCCATGGTTGGGTTATAGGGTTAATAATGAATTCGTACAGATTTTTGGTGTTGGCATACGCATCTATAATTGTCTCGCCGTCCGTCCTCATTCTAGCCAAACAACTATTAAGTGTGCGCCGAACACAATTTCTAACTTTTGGATTTCTTTTTAAATCAAATATAACCTTTCATTGTTATTGCTTTACGTACATAAAAGTTAATATGTTATCAGAGTATAGCTTTTGGTTGTCTGCTCAGACACCTCGGGTTAGTGTAACCATATATTTTTATGGCGGTACAAACAACTTAACAGAAATATGAAAGCCATTAGATCAGGCACAATATTGTCTAACGTTGTTTGTCTGACAGGACACGTGCCTGTGTAATTGATATCGCATTCAATGACAGCGCTACACGGGCAAACATGTCCTTGAAAGTGGTATGTCCTTGAACAGAATTAACTGCCAGGCCTTACAGAAGGAGTTGGACTCAACAGCCGTCGCTTGCCTGTCCATTAGAGCTGCTGTACAGATTTCGATTAAATGTGTTTCGGTGTAAGTATTTTATGCCCACTCAATTTATGGACGGTCGTAAACTAAGTAGAATTACAGAAGCGCCTGTAGGGGAGCATAAATATTTTATGATTTAAAAGTGGCCCATCTTGCCTGGAGGCGACCAACTATATAGAGTAATTCCCTTTTTTTAAGCTAAATGTAAGCAAACAATTTAGTTGCGAGGGGTGTTGAGATCATCTATTTTACTTTCGGTAAGGTAAGTGTACTTCGTGTTCCTTAAGAGCTATCTGATTTATGTTAAAATCCACTTTGAGCTTATAAATCTTTTTAATGTTGCGCCGCTTCTAAAGAATCTCAGATCTAAGGCATACGCTTAGGCATTTATTTAGCATACATGTTACATTTTTTTGTTTCATAATATTTTATTTAATGTATCCTTCGTTGGGTATCCCGACAACCTCACACCTTTTGAACATGTCTCAGTAATTCTTAATTATAAAATTGTTTCAGAACAATACTGGCTAGATCTCAGTATCTCTTGTCGAATATTTCTCAATTTTTATCCTTATTGCATTCCAGCATATAATACAATGGAAATCTTGGTGGGTATTGTGGCATCATGTGTCAAAAGTTATTTATCATACACCCTGCGTCCTGCCACTTTTCTGGCTTCTTGTGTGTGTGTTGTAGGTGCTGGGTGTATGCAGATGAGCATCAAATGGGAACGGAGCTGGAGAGCTTGCAAATAACGCAAGGGAAATATTTTCACTGGTTGCCAGTTGTCCCGGTGAAATGTAAAATTTGGAAAAGATATGCAGCAGCACGTAGCCACATAAATATGTTTGCATACGAAGCTGCCGTGGGACACTGCTTGTGCACTTACCGACAGATACACGCACACACACCCACCCACGCACGCACACACGCACACACACACACACACACACACACACACACACACAGACACGCACAAACACACAAACACATGCATTCAGTAGTAAGATTGTATGTGCTTATGTCATTGGGAAAAGCAAAAATAGTAGCAAAAGCAGTGCAAAAAGCAAGGGCAAAAGCAAACGTAAACGCAGACGTAAACAAAAGCAGGCACATGAGAGCAACCATAGGAGCACCGTAAACCACACAACCACGCACGCAGCCAATCACTCTCCCCGCAACCAAAAGTGGCAACGCACACGACGCTGTGTGGTTCATTAGTTCCTCGAATTATTATAGCCAACATGGCGTATGCGCGTTATTCTTTTATGCAAAATGGCATCAGCTTCGGAAACGTCGTCGTGACATTCGGTGCAGTGGTTATCGTATTGCCTATTGAAAACCCATCGACACACACACAGCAAAAAGGAGACGTCTGAAGCGGTCACAGCTGTTTTGTGGAGCGTAAATTTACACCGGGGCTTCGAATTGCCGAACGAAGCTGTCTGTCCCTTTACCATGAATGCTCGACTAAAACATGTTCTGCATGGCATGTGTGGATTATAATGCTAATCACATCCAGCCAAAGTTTTTAATAATTATGTATCTAGGTTCACACACACAGAGAACCTAAAAACTGACCTGAAGTGTTAAAATTATCAACCTTTGGGTACAGGGTATACAAATCCTTGACGTTTGTTTGCGATGGAAATCTTCTTGGTATTTTCTTTGTATTCGTTTTTTTTTCTTTTTTTTTTTTGTTTTGATGCCATTGTTTATGTGGCACGCATCTTCATTCTGAGCCCGCTGTGGCTTGCGTTGAAATTGCAAAAAAAAACCCAATGTGTGTAGGGGTTCTTATTCAAGCAGACACCGGTTGGTGGTCTAGCCTTGCCTACCGCTATCTTTAATATTGAATGTCAGTATGCTGTTGGTAGTATCTTTTTTATGTTGCAGGATATGCACTGGAGCTCATATTTGGTAAAATGAAGAGATCTAAAAACCATTTTTTTTCCCCAGGAATATTTTGTGCAGGCATATGGCATGTACTCCGCATGGCTCTGCTCATTATGGCAGCTGAATATCAAGTTGGCCTACCTTTAGGTAGCATATTTTCTGGATCTGGTCATCTGCTAACTTTGTACTTACTTGCATCGCTTTGTTCAGTTGGAATTTTTGTTCTGAATATTTTGCTTTCATGACAAAAGACATAACAATTATCATTTGAATTATATTGGATTGCCTTTGTTGCGAAACTTTTTAACTGACTGATACACTGGCACTTGGCATCCCAAGCCCCAAACAAGCTTTATATTTTGTTAAACAATAACGACGACGTCTACAGAGTGCCCGGTGGACATGGACAGCCCAAACCCCCTAACAGCTATCAACAAAGTCCGCACGCGGCATTGCAAAAGTTATTTTCTGAACTAACTTTGCCAACTTTTTGTTGCATATCTAAAACGGGTTTACGCGCAGCTCTTAGAACTGTGGCGAATAAAATGAGATAACTTTGCAAATATGTATATTCAATTACCTAGCCCCGACGGCTCGCCATCCCACTCTTCAAGGATTTTCAACGAAGTTTGAGTCGGGCTCCATTGTATGCCTCTAAAAAACATTTATCATCCCGAGGGTAAAGTCACCTGTTTAACATAGATACTGAAACCCGTTGAAAGTTGCGCATCTCAAATGCGAGCAGAAAACAAAATGCGTTCCTTTTGCTGACATGTGGGATTTCTCAGGGTCCTGTCCTGGGCCTGACAATTACAATTTGCACAAATGGAATCTCTGTTGTCGTCTTTATTGTCGACGGGCCTCAATAGGAGCTTAGGACGACGCCTGACGTTGAAAATAAATTGACACCACAGCGTCTAGTGTTAACGGGGCTAACGGCGCAAAACACACTACCACAAATCCCCAAGAGTCCAAGCTGGCCATGGTCTGCTCCATTTGATATCAATCAATGGCGTCACTCCACACGACTCGCCACCACACACCAGCAAGTGCCCAATCAATTGCCTCAATCAATTGAGTGCTAGAGCAGAAAGTCAACAAGCGCCCGTTGACTTGTGGCTTATGTTGCCAGAGATTTGAGATCTGAGTTATAACTAGAAACCAAACTGTTATCTAGCTAATGACAACAGCAAAACCACACAAAACAGAATACTCGGCAATTCATACAATCATCTAAAGTAGTTCGCTGGGGTTCGGCTTAAAGTCTGTACATTTACTGGATTGTCAGCCAAATAATGCAGAGATAATACATTCTACCCGATTGCCAGTCTTATCGTTAATTGCTATCATACTAGTTCCCTCACTCGAAGTGGATTTCACTTTCGAAACAAAAAGTCACGATTTCCTCAATTGAATTGGGAGAACGTAGGGGCCACGCGAATGGATACACTGTTACAAATGTGCGGCTATGTGGCAATTGGCCATAAGCCGGATATGCATTACAGTTTCTAATGAGGCAATTGTAGAAATAAGCTGAACGTGCCGCCATCGAGGTCGACAGGACTCTTTTGGTAGTAGCAACAGCAATAGCAACCGTAACGGAAACGGAAATGGTACGAGTATAGGTAAAAGCAAATGCAAAAGTAAAGGCGACTGCTCACGACTGTGGCGAGATAAAAGTTTCTTATGTTATTACCTGGACGTGTTTTTATAACCTTTTCACAAGTTTTTGCCTTGTCGGTAAATGCATAAACATACTTTCATTTCATTTCATTTCATTTTTGCAGCCAACACCACATTAAGGCGAGCCAGTTTAGAGTTCAGGAATTGGGACTATTTACCATCATCCGCAAAAGAAATTCTCTAGGGTAGTGTTTGCGGCTTTAGAACTTTGACTACGCTGATACTTTATAAAACCCACTGAACCTAATACACTTAAAAACCAATTGGCAGTTGGTTCTCCCGCACAGTTTCCACTTGGCAGGCGATGCAATAAATATATTTGCGAAGCATTTCAATTTCGGCCACACATATACCACATAATCCTTGACAGCTTAACTCCTCTTTGGTAAATCGCACCCGTATTGGCGGTCCATGAGTTAATTAACCATCAAGGTACTTGCCGTTAAAAACAATGGCCAAAAACATGAGGAAATTGAATTTTAATTTAAAACTGTGAGCCTAGGCTTGGGCATTTGTTCATCACACTTTCTACATTTTTCAATTAAATAATTTAATAATATGAATAAAATGTAATATATTAATATATATTTATTCAAAATGTGGAAACATGCTTGCTGTCCGGCTTAAATCTGGCTTACAGCCCTGTGTATAATATTAAACAATTTTTGTCTCATTGAGTTGAGGACTAAATTGGTTTGATGTCTGTAGCCCATAGTACTTATTATTACATTTTCGTTAAAATTTGTTCCGCTGCCGTAGTTTCGGAGAAAAACAATACACTTAGCTGGCGGAATTGGCCATTAGCTGCTGTTGCCAATGAAAACATCAACCCAAATATGTCTAACGCCTTTTGGCTCAGGGCAACGCCTGGCCGGAGTCCAAGTGTGTCTGTGTCTACGTTCTGTAGTCCTTAATCTAGATTATGTGCCCTCCGAAAATTCAATGGAAATTGAAAATAATAAGAACGTTACCGAGCATGTTCAATTCGGTGAAAGTTCTGTATGTGTGAGTGAGCGTATGCGTGTGTATGTTTGTGTTCGAGTACCTGCCGATTGCAATGGCTGCCGCGAAAGGGCAAGGGAAGTAGGATTTGGCTTAGCGGTAGCCATTTTGATATTTTCCATTTATTCGCTGGTATTTTGCTTGGATTTGGTAGTTGGTTTCGGGTTTGGCTTGAAGACATAACCGTTTACTGCTGATAGCACCGCAGCTTTAAATAAAAACAAACTTGAAGTTAGCCGAGTGCTGTTTCACAACAGGCTTGTCGGAGCTAAAGTCTTCATTTCTTTTTTTTTGTACATATTTAGAGCATTACATTTTTATTTCGTTCAATTTAAACTTGAATTTAATTAAATGTTGAATTGAACACATTACAAAGTTGCTGAATAAGGATTCAATTTATATTATGGTAAGCAAAAAAGTTGCATGCAACATTTTTTGCGATTTTGCGGGGGAGTTTCCCAAAACTCCGTCTTAACGTGTACGTTTATTACATAAGGTAACTACAGTAAAAATGTCAGCTTCCTAGCTCTTGAGGCTTGGGCTGTGCGTTGATCACCAATCAGGCAGTCAGTCTATCAGCCATTCAGGATAAACAGTTTTATACATAGCAATAATATACTGCGTCACTCGTTTCCTGCAATCTATTTTTTACTAGAACTAGATTTGTACAGCATTAATGGACATAACTTGCAACCGGTTTCCCGCAATCGAAAACATTTTTACTCTTCCGTACTTCCTAGTACTTCCATTTCTGTCCACTTTTCGGACAGATTTTCGAATTTCTGTCCATAAATTGCATAACCCATTTCCCGAAATCGACAACATTGTTATTTATCCGTATTTCCTAGTACATCCATTTGTAGTCAACTAAGAGACATAACTTGCAAACCATCCGCAATCTTGCAAAACTCATCCGTATTTCCAAGTACTTTAGTACCCAATTATAAGATATAGCTGGCAACCTATTTTTCGCAATCGAGAACATTTTTAGTTATTCGTAATTCCTAGTACATATATGTATTTCAACCCAGTTTTTAAATAAAGTTTCTAACTTATTTTCCACACATATTTCCTAGAACTTACAGTTTTTCCCCATTTTCCACATAACCTGCAACCCATTTCACGCAATCGAGAAAATTTCATTTATCCTTATTTCCCAGAACTTTTATTTCTTACAAACGACATGAATTTCATGAAATGCCACTTCAGACCGTTATTTGAAAAAAGCTTAAAGTGTTTGGAGTGCAAAACTACAAACGCTGAACTATGCACTCAACAGTTGATAATCAATTTTTGAAGTGAGTGTATTTTCCGAAAAAGTGACTAACGCGTTTATTCTTTTAATGAAATGCTTTGAAAATCAGTTGAATCCAATCCACTAAAAACGAACAAATTTTAAACCTAACAATGCCACAAAATCGATCACAATTCTTTAGCACTTTCCATAAGCATTTAGTATAATTAAAGGTTTTCAGGTAAAAACCGAAAACCTAAAGTAAGCTGATATTGAAGTGCACAGTTTTTAATATGAAACTTTTGTTGGCCACAGCACTAAGAGTGTAATTTTAGTGTAGAGCCATGGTAACCTGTAAAGTAATTCAAAAAGTTCCATATTCGAGCTAAAAATGCATTTAACAAAACAAATTCAATTTAATTTTAGTAAGTAGCTTGCATCTTGATGTGTGAAAAAATATTCGTAAAATCAAAATGTGTGTATGAATCGATTTCGGTACATACATGTGTGTGAGAGTATGGGTACACGCATACAGAGATATTCATAGAAATGGTGCGCACGAATGCACTATAGATAAGGTAACTACTCGGAAAATCCCGACTCAGAACTGAGTCTGATTACTCCACTGTCACGGATTTGGCCAAGTTGCGCGGACAGTCAACGTCACAGCCACGCAGCACGGCAATGTGGTAGGAGAGCAGCTGCATGGGTATGACTGTAAGGATGCCTTGAAGACAGTCGACTGTGCGGGGAATTTCAAGGTGGCGAGACGAAAAGGCCTTTGTCTCCTCGTCGCCTTCTTCGCAAATGATCACTGGGCAACCCTTGCGCGAGGTGACTTGCTGCAAGGCATTCATGCACTTGACGTAGACTGGATCACGCAGCACGATCATCAGCACAGGCATCGAACCGTCCACGAGGGCCAGTGGACCATGCTTCAGCTCTCCGGCCATTATGCCCTCGCTGTGCATGTAGGTCAGTTCCTTCACTTTCTGTTAAAGTATAAAATATAAAATATATATTTTTTATGTAAGATTCGGACTTACCAGAGCACCCTCCAGGCAAGTGGCGAAGTTGTAGCCGCGACCCATGATCAGGAGCGACTTGTGCTGGTAGAGATCCTTGGCCAGCTCCTGCACCTTGGAGTCGAGCTTAAGAACCTCGCGAATTTGATCAGCGAGTTTGGACAGTGCCTGCAGAATCTCCAGGCGACGCTGCTGCAGGGACAAACGATCCTCGGACATGACCAGCGCGAACATAACCAGCGAGATAAACTGCGATGTATAAGCCTTTGTGGAGGCAACACCGATCTCGGGACCGGCATTGATGTGGACGCCGCAGTGCGACTCGCGACAGATGCTGCTACCCACTGTGTTGGTGATGCCAACGATCAGAGCTCCGCGCTGCTTGCAGTAGCGCAACGCCATCAAAGTATCTGCCGTTTCGCCGGACTGCGAGATGAAGAAACAGACGTCGTCACGGAATATAGGTGTGTTGCGATCAAGGAAGTCTGAGGCCAGCTCAACCATGACTGGCAGTTCAGTCAGCTCCTCCAGTAGCTGACGCGTGGCCACGGCACTGTGGTAAGAGGTGCCGCAGCCGATCAGCATCAGACGGCGGCAGCGTTTTATCTCTGGTATAAAGTCTTTAATGCCACCCAGCACAATGGCGTTGCCATCGAAGCGGACGCGTCCGCGCATTGTGTTGACAACAGACTCGGGCTGCTCAAAGATCTCCTTCTGCATAAAATAGTCGTAGTTGCCCTTCATGATCTGTTGTATCTCCATTTTCAGGGTGGTTATCTCACGAGCATGCGGATCATCCAAGCTCTTCTTCAGACGATGGATGCTCAGCGTACCATCCCTCACTGCAGCTACATCATCATCCTGAAACAATCAATGAAGTTTTAAGAATTTATATTAATTATTGAGTGGATATTTATTTACCTCTAAGTAGATGACACGATTCGTATGCTCGATGACAGCTGAGGCATCCGAGGCAAAGAAGTACTCAACCTCCTTCTCTTCTAGGGGCATAAATTCCGATGTGCTCTCCGAGCGTGGCAACACTGGCAATTCACGAGTTTGTCCATGTGGACGCAACTCTGTTCGGTTAATTTGGCATTTAAATGGTGTTGACGGTGCCAATTTGCATTTGCATTTGCAGTTGCAGTTGCAAGAAGTGTTGCGATTGCGTTTGCGGTTGCGATGTCGATGGCGATGTCGATAGAGTAGCATTTCGACCGAATTGAGTACGAGGGAGGCGGCACGCATTTGTCGGCGGTGCAAGCAATGACATGTATGCGTGTGTTTTTATGTGTGTGTCGTTGTGTGTGTATTTGTGTATGTGCACGTATGTAGACCCAGTTTATGGAGAGTTTAATGCAGAAATCAGAAACGAAAATAAATAGAATTATCAACAACAGCAGCAAATTATGTATGGCCACAAAAAACAATCCACCACGAAAGGGAATTTCGGTCAATACAATTTGAAAATGTATGAAAGTCAATTGGTAATAAAACATTTCAAATTGAATTAAGCATATTTATTTGCCAATTAATTATGCACGAATCTATGTATGGACATGCTTAAATTTTTTAAATAATTACTAAAGTTCGATTGCCAATTAAAAACTACCCAGGTGTTTTTCAATTTAGTTTAACGAAAATACAAAAACAAAAAATGTCATTTATGACAAAAGCAATTACATTAATGGATGGTCAAACTATAAGTTAAATTGGGACTTAAACAATTTCTTAATCTTGTGCACCGTTTTGATTAGATGTTCAGTTGTGTATAGGCCGAACGATAAATGACTTAAAATGTGTTTTTGGGTGTTTTGTTAAATCGGATTGCATATACTGAATTTTAGTACTTTATATTGCAATTGACTTCAAGTGAAAAACGTATAGAAAAGAAAATATTTGCTCCTTAAAGGAAAATTCTGTTTAAATTACAAGTCTTTAAAATGCGCAATTTAAATACTTTTGTAATGAAAGAAATGGCGATAGAAAGAAATGAAAGTGTAGTTGGTATATTTTAAGCAGACAAAAAGCTAATAGGCATGCATATTTTTATATTCTAGTCCTCATAACAATAATATTTAAAATTGTAATTACCTTGGGGCTTGCCGGAGTCGGCATCTAGACAGACGCGAGAGAAAAAAACAAACAATTTTTAAGTAATATGTTCGGTTGTATAAATTAAACATAACCAGCACCAGGAGATTGAGCAGATAAATTGATTTTGGTGCGAAGCGAGAAGTGATTAGCTTGGTTTTATACGATACACCGATACCCAGCAACCGCCGTAAAGCAGAGTTTGATAGGATTTAGATTAGTTGACTACCTTGATCGGAGCTCGGCTTCTTGTCATCTAAACGTTGGAAATTAACACAGAGGGTCAGCAGAGATACGGCAAACGAGGAGGAAGGGTCGCCAAAGGATGCAATGGGGCGAAAGTGTTGAAAAGTTTCAGAGTGCCGGCAGGGGCGACAGTTGGTTATTTGGAAATAAAAAACGAACACGTATAACACAGACAGATGCAAGTATGTACACATATCGAGATAAAAGACAAAAGATATCGTTATAAAAAAAGGAAACAGAAGAGAGTCTACGAGAAGATAACTCTGTATGTCTGTGTTATGTCTGTATCACTTACCTTTGCCGTATAGAATGGGAATGTGATCCGTGGCCAAGCGGGTCTTTGTCTTGATACCGACGAGCAGAGGGGAGCTGCGACGCGAGGCAACACACTCGCCTGGGAAATGCTTCGATTTTACAGCAATTGCAAATGCGCCCTCCTTTAAACACGAAATACGAAAATAGCCACATAATCAAGTGCTCATAATGAACCTTGGTTTCCACTTCAATGGGCTACTTACCACTTGCTGTATGGCCTGCTCCACCAGCTCACGGAACGAGTAGTTTGGATGTTTCTTCCACAGGTGATGCACCAGCTTGGCAAACACCTCCGTATCCGTGTCCGACTCGAACTCATAGCCCTTCTTGGCCAGGAAGGTCTTGACGTCGTTATAGTTGGTGATGATGCCATTGTGAACCACAACAAAGCTGTTGCCCTCATCAGAACGTTGTGGATGGGAGTTACGCTCGCACGGCACGCCATGGGTGGCCCAACGGGTATGTGCAATTCCAACATGCGTGTTCACCGGCTCGCTATACTCCCCGCCGCTAAAGTCTGTACAAATGTGATGCGATTCGATTTACAACAGTGCCAGTGGATTATTTTAAAATCAACTGCTGCTTACGTTCTTGAATGGCATCCTCCAGCACCTTGACCTTGCCAGTGCGCTTCACCATAACGATATCCTTGTTGTCTGGTGAATCGATGGCTACGCCGGTGGAGTCATAGCCTCGGTATTCTAGTCGCTTCAAGCCTGTCACCAGCAGGTCCAGCACCTCTTGACGAGACTTGGGTGTCAAATAGTTCAAGTAGGCGAAAATTCCTTTAGGTAAAGTGTAAACAGTTGATCAATGATGTATGTGTTTAGATTTAAATACTTTATAATGTCCACATAACCAGGAAATTCAAATTCCAATACCAGAAAGCTTACTTATGTATGTAAACCTTTTTAAAAATATATATAAATTTATGATAAAAACATTTTGCAAGAGCTAAAGTTATTGAGTTCCAGTTCAAGACCCGACCAGTTATGAGGAAATCTGCATCTAAAGCAAAACCAGTTTGGGCTTGGGCTTCACAAGTTAGTGCACCACTTGGATAAGTGGCTCAGCGGCTTTGTAGGCGTCCAGTAGAAGTTATTTTTGGAGTCGAGTGAGGCGAAAGGCCGTCGACGCCATCGAATGTAATCGAATATAAATGCCAGCTTTATTGTGTCAGGGGCCCTGAATTCTGTGTAACATTTATACTTTATGTTAGTCTTACTCTTCGTATATTAAGTCAAGGCATGGACTTTAAAACAATGGTTAAATCTTTCCATTTATATATTAATTATAGTTTTAAATTTTTCTTAATAATTGTTAATTCAATTATAAATAAGAATTTATTATAATAACTTACCACACATTTTATGACTTGTTCAATTACACAATATTGCTGATGATTTCCTTTTAATTTCTTCCTTAAATCAAGAAAAAACAGTATTAATTTGTATTCACTATTAAAATAAAAATAATATTATCTTCCAATTCTTATTGAAGAAATTAAAATAATAAGTATGAGAAAGTATAATATATCATATATTCTCTAAAAACAATAGATTGTCATGAGTTCTCAATAAGAGTATGCATGAGTCAGTAAAGCGTTTCGAGTGGAGTTTGAAACTAATGAAACCTGGTTTCGTCATTGAAAACGAAGTAAAGAGAGCCTTAGTTTTAAAGAGTTTAATTGTTGAACTACCCTGACTCTTAGTAATGTGTGTGTGAGTGTGTGAATTGCATGTGTGAGTGTATGTTAACAAGCGCACGAGTGTTCTTATCAACTCGTCAACTTCAGAATGTTTCTTTCCGCTGCGGCTACCGGTCTACTTAGTTCTGTGTAGTTCTAGTTCGAGGTTCCGTCCTCGTTCCCGCTTGTGCTTGCTTGGTAAACATGATTTCTCAGTTTTAAATCAAATGGCAATTTCTTGTAGTCAAGATTCTTGCTTTGGTTTTGCGTTTTTTATACCGTGTACCCATACCAATAGGGAGCAGAGTCAGTTGGAGACATTTGTAGATAGACGAATATTTCTGCGACATTATCGAGAATACCCAAATATATCTTGACTTTATAGTAAATAAATTAACACATACAAATTTGATAATCGCGTTGCGCCAGATCGAACAAAAATCAAGCTATATTATAGCGCTAATTCAAAGATTGCTTTGAGTGCTCAGATAAAAAACATACTGGGTATATTCTAGTCAAACAATATCTTCTGTTATTCTTTTACATCTGGTGCTCAGTTGTTGTTTTAATCTAGTTAAATGCGTCGCAAGAAATAAATATGTTTGTATAAATGTATGTTTGTGTGTCGCACACATAACTGTGAGCGACTCCAGGTCCGGGTCTGGGTTTTGGCTAAGAGGGACGACTATGTAAGCCTGTATGGATAAAATTTATGTATGTAGATTTCAATCGGTGGCCCAAGTTAGAGTATAATTTCTTTTGAATGAGCCCTACAAATTGGAATTTTTATCATTTAGCACAACGTGTTTGCGGCGTTTCGCTCTGAATCTTTGCCTTGCTCTAGAGCTTCATGGTGAATGGTCATAGTGGGAGCGTCTACTCTTCGGCCAATTCAGGTGCAACACGTACTCAACCGTCTTTGTCTTTGACTTTGCCGTCCTTGCCCCTCTTTCGGGCGACTGTTTATGGTGAGTGTGACAGAATTCTGGAAAGCTCTCACATGCACCCTCGCCACTTCTTCTTCGGTCTTCCCAACGGTAATTGTCAATAGTTAACACACTCTTCTTCCCCGCCTCTGCATCTCCTCGGTCACGACCGAAGGCTGTGATTGGCATTTTTAATTTTCTTGCCGAGCGAGGCCGGCCAGGTGCCAGAGCTTACAGTTTCGAGTGGCTAGCAGAAAAGAAGCCAAGCATAGTACGTTAATTAAAACGATTCACCCGTACAGAATACATCTGCAATCATGTTGTTCTGGCTTGGCACCGATGAGACTCTCGCCTTTCGCACAGCTCACTATGAATGTAAACACAGTCGGGAAAGCTTTCCACTAATGAATCAATTGTGGCTACAAAGGCCCCAAAATGACTTATCACACGTAGATAAGAGTGGGAGGTAAGCGTTCAAGTAGACAGTAAAGTTGATGCCCGGCAAGGCGTCCCCCTGCTGCACTTTTAATTGATCGGGCAGATCGTAAAAGTAGAAAAGCATTAAGTAAGCAGCGACAAGCTAATCAAGTGCAGTCGATTGACGATTGCCCGAACTTACTACCCTAGTGTAAGCTATTTTAATTTATGAAATACTTTATGATCTATATAAATTTTTACAGCATTAAAATTGCATAGCCATTGAAAATTAAGGTCGTGACGCTAGCATATTCCACGAAATAGTATCTCAAGAATGGGAAATTGACTGGAAGTTATCAGCTCATTACTTTTTGAGCAACTATTAATAATAGATCAATAAAATTGATAAACAAAAACAAAAATGGTATTGCAATTATTTCATATTGACACCTTTTATACATCAGTATTGGACCACGTCTGAGCTTTTTTTTCTACCAGTTGAGTAAACTCTAACGGAGCACAACAGGGCCAGTCCACGCCTTGGCATTGCGTCGTGGCTTGTTTGTTGGCGCAAGTCGGCAACAATTTGTTGTTTATTCAGTTTGTAAATGTATTGTAGGGTATTTATGAACGGTTTGCCACATATTTCTAGATTTGGGGTCGCCCGCATCTACTCTTGGTACTTGCAACCTTTTATCAGTTTTGTTTTGTTTTTTTTTTATGCATTGCGCTGCCTGTTTACGTTAGTGTGGTTTGTTTTGTGCCTGTGTGTGTGTGCGTGTGTGCATGTTTTCGCGGTCTGAAACACCAATCAGCAGTGCTGCAAACAGCGAACAGGTATTTTATATAAGACGGTACAACGAATTTTGACCGCAATTTCGGGTTTAAAGCGGGTTTTGTTGCCCCATAACATTTTCGTGTTTTTTTCTTCTTCTTATTTTGCATTGTGTTATTAAATAATTCAATTAGTGTTCGTTGCGCTGGCAACACAGCAATACCGCACCACCCAACCGCACCACTCACTCAATATCCAGCAAATTGATTTTAATACCGAATTTTAAACTGTGCGAGGTGTCCAGTCAAGCATTTTGACCAGTTGACTGTCCTTTGTCTTTTGTGGTGGGTTTTTGGTTTACTTTTAATTGCAGCGCGTTAATTACAAAATCTAGATTTGAAATCCACTCTAAAACAATTTATAAACTAATCACACACTCTTCACTCACACGGCTTGTGGTTGGCTTGTTTAATAGTGGTGTGGTGTTCGACTTTGACGTGGTAACAAGTTTGTTCGGGTTTGGAAACGCACTTGCTGCTGGCCAACTCCGCTGTGAAATTAACACTGAGCTCGCTCTGAAAAGAAACTCACACTAAATGCGCTGCTTTTATAGGCTACCGACCGTTGCGACGCCAGCGTCATCGCCGGCTCCACATTAGCGCCGCGATCGTTTTTGCCAAACACCGAGAGTCAGAGCCAGAGGTATAGCCAGAGGCCGAGTACCCAATACAACCACTCACACTCACACTTACACTCATATCCATGCTCATATATGAGTATACTCATACTCACATCCAACAACAGCAACAGTTGTGAGAGCAAAAGTAAATGGTGCGCTCCAAAAGACAGTTACGCTTATCGCGAGCATTAAAGAGCACGATCCCGAGTAGTGCTTTCGGGTTGGGCGCTCACTTTTAGCTGTAACTGTATGATTATATTGGAAATATTAATATATAGTTGAGTCTTTTTGATGATGGTGAATTCATATGTAGAAAATATATAACTTACATTTTATGCTTAAGACGAAAGGAGACATTTAACCGGCCTGACATATAAACTAGTTTGTTGTTAGCCTTAATCGCCATGCATTTACCATAGCCATTCATCTTGCGTGCCGGCAGGGCATGCAACTGATTTATGTGCTGATGGTGCTTGGTCCGCCCAATCGATGTCGGAAGTCTGTCATCAGCTGGAAATATTATTTTGTCTACGATCGAAAAATATATTCATGGTATATCAACCTACAAAGATACTTTCCTTCGCCTGAAACGTAAATACAAATAAATAAATACAGTTTCAGTTAAAAGTAGACGGTCGAACTGAAATCACTTCTCGGGCTCGTGCTCTTTTATGCTCGCGATAACACACAACTGTTGCTGTTCTTGGATATGTGTGAGTATGAGCACCTAAGCGGTATGAGCGTAAGTGTGAGTTTGAGTGTGAGTGTAAATGGTTATTTTGGGCACTCAGACTGTGCCCGTAGCTGTAACTCTCAGCATTATGCTATTGGTATGAATGTCAACATCATGAATTTAAAATGATTTAAAATACACATTTAAAATCTTTTAAAAATAAAAAAAAAATGTAATATTGAGTTTTTGGGTTTATGCAAGTTTGTCAAAAAATAAGCTATCATTTTTCAAACTCTTGGATAAACAATCAAGTTATAGCGATTGGAGCAAACTTGTCAGAAATACCAATATTTAGATTTTGTTGTTGAAAAATTACCAGTCTAGTCTTTAAGTTTTCAAGCTATACTGACAAAGCAGATATCCGTATTTTGTGGTTGCAGGCAGTATAGTTAATAGATCCTAAAGGAAAGATCGGTCTTAAGCTGATTTTTATTTTGTATGAACTGCATGCTCTGGCCGCACCCAACTTGAATATTTTGGTTTTGGCAATTGCAAGACTCTTAGGCAAGGCGAATTAAACTACTCTAAACTTGTTTTTCAGTTACCGATATCCTCACACAAGCCCAATTTTAATTGAACTCTGATATTTAGCCTGAAAGTGACTTGGTGCATTTATTATGTGTATTCAGCTGAGACAGATTGATTAACATAGCACAATACGAAATTTGCGCTTTAGCTGTCGCATCAACTAAAAGGCATTAAATCAATATGCATATTGCATATATATTATGCGTGGTTTTTCATATTAAATTTCAATTAATTAATTTGTGAACTGACAAAGGAAGTCAATGACATGTGCAAAATGCTTAAATCATTTAAGTAATGTTTAATAAATTGTTTCATTTTATTTATTTTTCAACACAGTTTTCTTTTGTTATTTTTTCATTTCTCTGGATTTGTTTTGCCCAGTCTATGAGGAGGAGTCTATCCGCAGGAATCATGGCGCCAATTGATGGGTCAATATTTTACATTTCAATATAGCCGCATCCCATGTGCGGCATGCGGCACATTGTCTTTTTGCCTCCGGGTAAAATTCAATATGGATAAATTCATAAAATACCAACTGCAGCTTTGATAAAAAAGAAAATAGTAGAAAATACAAAATGTGAATATTTAATTTAGCAGACAGTGTAACCAACTAGTATGAGGTGTTGGGCACATGTAGAAAATACTAAATGTCAACAAATGAAAACCAATTTAAAGCTCGAGGCTGGCTGGAGCAGAGTATTGCCAAATCCCCAAACCGGTTGAATATACAAATTATGCGTTAATACAAATTATTTCGGCTCGTTTGTGCCGTACCACCGTACCACCACCTTAAACAGCACCGGTTTCTTATACGTCAGTAACCTGAACGATATAATATAAATATTTATGATTTCTTTTTCTAACTCTGCCGCCAGCAGCAGTTGTCTGCACTCCTACCAGAGATTTTGTATCTGCTTTGGCTTCTGTTATCGTAGTCAGTTTTTGTTTTGTTCATAATAACTGACCTTGACTTCCATTCGAAAGGAAAAGTGATGCTCCAACTGGCGACTCGGATTAAAAACCTGTCTTTTAAAGACTCAGCTTCCCAAAAACCGTCAGCAAGATCAACATAGTGTAATAAGGTAAAAGAAGCTCTGTTGAAGATATATCGAAAAATCAATAGCTCCAGTCTATTAAAACTGTTTGCAAAGTTATATTATAGTAGATATATTTTATGGTTATAATAATGGTTTTCTTTTTATACTCTCCCAACTCGCATTTGTCTCTCGCTCTCTCTCAGCGGATTTTCTTACCTGTAAATGGTAAACGCTATTCGTCAATGGTAAAAACGAGTTTCGAGTTGATCTTTTAATGGTGCCTGGCCGAACTGGCCACCAGAAGTGTCGAGTGCAAGTCGCACTCAAGCCGGCCCAGCTGACCTTGCTTTTAAACATCTTGTGCTACCGGTAGACCCCTTACTTCCATGATATTGGTCGCAGAGGGGCATTGCTGGGGGTAATGCAGCTGTTGGCCCTCAACTAGACAGACTCTACAGAACAATTAGCACAGTTCTTTGTAGTTTTCATATGGCAAATACATATACATATAATACCCTCGAATTTGTGCAAAAATTAATTAGACTGCGCCACGTCAGTTTCAGTGAGACCCAATGCGGAAAACACAAATCATACTTACTTTCCAAACTAGTTTTACAACGCCACGACCAAGAGCTAGGTGTGGCCATTGTGCATCAAATCAGGAAAGTGCTGTGCTTATCAATGCGTTGATAAGTAAAAACAAAAGCAACTATCTATTCGCTGACAATATAATAAAAAAGCCAAACGTACAAAAAAGGCTGATGCAAACAGTTTTTGAATTTTTGGTTTTCTTTAGGCTGCGCACTCAGTATAAAACGGAGAAATAAAATAGGATTAAAAAGTTAATAACCATAAAATAATTTAATATTTTTATATAAAATCAATTAAAACAGTCCTTTAATAAAATTAAGTAGCGTAAATTGATGTACACAAAAATTATTTGTTATTATAACTTTTACTTTCTGACTTACATTACAGAAAATGAAGATGAAATGTTTCAAAGTCACATTCAAAGTTTTATCTCTAACAGCAAATTAAAATTAAATACATTATGATGAGTGTTCCCTTGTATCCTTGGCAGTATGTCAAGAGAGCTCAAGATGTTGGACTACTCGAAAAGCGCATGTCAGTAAAAAACGTATTTATATGACACAAATTGGTCCAACTACCAGCCAGCCCCTTTGACATCAAGGACTATTTTCAGTTTCAAGCAAAGGGCACTTAACTATTGTTGTGCCCTCGGAATCCCCTCAGTTATCACCTAGTAACCAGTCTAGACGCGTGTGCGAAATAGTTTTCAAATGCGGCGAACAGTAAGAGTTCCAAATTCAAATCCTTATGTAGCTGTGAATACTTTTACTTATGGCACCATCCGTGGGCTCGAATGGGTCTTAAGCTTGGTGCTAAGATTCAAGTCAGCAGCAAGTTGAGGAAACTGTACCTCTGGGCTTCTAACTCCTTGTGCTCTGAACTATTTTGTCATCATAAAAAGTTGAATAAGAGTGTATATTTTTATGGACTTGTTTTATATTTTGAGTTTATGCCTAGGATCATTTTATTATTTCTATATTTGATGGCTTCATATTCAAAGAGAAGTTAATGCTGTGTAGCTAATTATAATACCTATTGTATTTTGGACAATTTGCTTAAAGAAAATAGGATACCCAAAGGTGAAAATTCCTATTTTCTTTAGTGCGCAAGTCCTCCGATTATATTCACACCCCGGACGGTGGATTAAAGTTCCTTATTTCCTATATCAAGGGGGAATTTCTTCTGTTCGTTCACGGAAATTTATGTGATAGGGTGCGAGTTCTAATGCCAGCCGGCACTTTGTTTATTTAAATAAAAATTTTACAATAATATGAAACAACTGAACTAAAGGCAAATTCACAGCGGCCATTAATTAAATTTATGCACAGGCATTGCCGTCTGGCAAGGACGAGGCCCGAGGTAGCAAAAACATCAGGCGGAAGAGCCAACAACAGGGCAGTTGGCGGTTGCGGTGTGAGCTATGGCTACGGAGATTGTGACAATGGTGGTGCCGTCGATGTTGCTCGGTGGTTGCAAGAAACTGTGTCCTGCTCGCCCACACTAAGAGGCAAACCCGAAAAGTATGAAAAACCCGACCGGCAAGCGAAATACTCGTATATATAACGAGAAAATATTTCAAATAATTCGCTTGCCTGCGCCCGGGTCGGTGGTGTGGGCGGCCTGCATGTTGTGAGTGGTGGTGTGACCAAGACGCAACCGGGCTGCTTGTGGCGGCACCAATTATGGAAGTAAAATTTATTATTTTTTATTGTTGCTGTAAAGTAAATCGAGTGTTTGTAGTTATGTCGTATGTGTGCCTGTGTGTGAGTGTGTGTGTGTGTATGATTGTTGTGTTTTCATATTTTTCCATGGCTATGCGGCCATTGTGTACAATTTTCACATGACTGCGATGCTGTTGCTGTCGTCGGGTCTCTGCTTTATTTTTAGTGTTTTTAGTGCTTGGGTCAGTTGTTTTCGGTGTCACTTAGTTTATAAACTATTTATGCCTTCCACTGCAGTAAATTCTTATTTTGGCATTTGCGCTTTT